CCATCTCCTGACCTTGTGATCCAGCTGCCTCTGAACCCAGCCCTTTATTTATTTTATTTTTTTTCTGTATTTTTAGTAGAAAAATAAAAAGTACAATGTGCTGCACACATTGGGGGTTTTGCCTTGTTGCCCAGGCTGGTCTCCAACTCCTGGGTTCAAGCACTCTGCCTGCCTTGGCCTCCCAAAGTGCTGGGATTACAGGCGTGAGCCACTGTGCCTGGCCTAAGCTGTTTAATTTATATTAACTCATTTAATCTGGACAACACTCTTATGATGCATTAGTTTCCCAGTAGGAGTTGAGTGCTTCGTTCATCCATTCATTCATGTCTGCATCTGTTCAACTAGTATTTATGGAGCATCTACCATGGGCACGTAGAAGGGAACACACCAGCCAAGGTTAATCAAGTACAGAAATAAACAAATAATGACAGGCTGCATTAAATGCTTGGAAGAAAATCATAGGGATGATAGGCCGGGTGCCGTGGCTCATACCTGTAATCCCAGCTTTGGGAGCCTGAGGTGGGTGGATCACCCTGAGGTCAGGAGTTCGAGACCAGCCTGGCCAACATGGTGAAACCCCATCCCTACTAAACATACAAAAATTAGCCAGGCGCGGTGGCTCATGCCTGTTATCCCAGCACTTTGGGAGACTGAGGCAGGTGGATCACGAGATCAGGAGTTCGAGACCAGCCTGGCTAGCATGGTGAAACCCTGTCTCTACTAAAAATACAAAAAATTAGCCAGGCATGGTGGCACGCACCTGGAGTCCCAGCTATTCGGGAGGCTGAGGCAGGAGAATTACTTGAACCTGGCAGGTGGAGGTTGCAGTGAGCCAAGATCGCGCCATTGCACTCCAGCCTGAGTGAGAGTGAGACCTCTGAGTCAAAAAAAAAAAAAAAAAAGCTGGGTGTAGCGGTGCAGGCCTGTAATCCCAGCTACTCTTGCGAGGCTGAGGCAGGAGAATCAAGATGGCACCACTGCACTCCTGCTGGGTGACAGAGTGAGATTCCACCTAAAAAATTAAATAAATAAATAAGGATCATACGATGGAGGGCAGCTGGGAGGGGCTCGAGCTGAGGACCACACTAGGTAACCACGAGCAGAGAGGGGGAACTAAGCTTGAGACCCCCAGAGGATAAGAAATTAAGAAAAGCCGGGAAGGCTGGGCATAGTGGCTCACACCCGTAATCCTAGCACTTTGGGAGGCCAGCGTGGGTGAATCTCTTGAGCCCAGGAGTTCAAGACCAACTTGGGCAACATAGCAAGACTCCCCCTATCTATAAAAAATACTAAAACTTAGCTGGGCATGGTGGCTCCTGCTTGTAGTCCCAGCTACTTGAGAGGCTGAGGTGGAAGGATTGCTTGAGCCAGGCGGTTGAGGCTGCAGTGAGCTGTCACTGCACCTCTGCAGTCCCACCTAGGTGACAGAGTAAGACCCTGTCTGAAAAGAAAAACAAACAAAAAAAGAAAAGCTGGGAAAAGTTCCAAGCAGAGGCAAGAACAAGTGCAAAGCCCCAGAAATGGGAAGACATTTAGAGACTAGAAGATCAATGTGGTTGCAGATGAAAGAGCTCAGGGTGGGGAGTGGGACTGAACATGGGATGGGAGTGAGGATGGAGGATGGGGGTGAGGCTGGAGAGGTGGGGGCAGGGCAGGGGGTGTGGGGTGAGGGATGAGGGTTTGAGTGTGGGGAGATGGGGGTGAGGGTGAAGAGGTGAGAATGAGCTCATGGGGGTGAGGGTGATCTACGGGACACTAGTCTAGAGATGCCAAGGATGCCACTGGCTGCACTTGTGGGGAGTCCAGGGAGGGCTAGAGGCTGCACACATTGGCATGGGGAGTCATATTTAAAGGGAAGAGCATGGGTCTTGTCTAAAGATCAAGAGTAGATAAGGATGAAAGGAGGCTGTGATGGCTCCCACCTGTAATCCTAGCGCTTTGGGAAGCTGAGGCAGGAGGATTGCTTTAGCCCAGGAGTTCTAGATCAGCCTAGGCAACATAGCCATAGTGAGACACCAACTCTCTACAAAACAAAACAAAATAAAACAAAACAAAAAAAATGAAACATGCAGCTGGGCGTGGTGGTGCACACCTGTGGTCCCAGCTACTCAGGAGGCTGAGGCGGGATAACTGGAGCCTAAGATGTCAAGGTTTCAGTGAGCCATGTTCGCACCACTGCACTCCAGCCTGGGCAACAGAGTGAGCCTGTTTAAAAAAAAAAAAAAAAGGGCTGGGCGCGGTGGCTCACGCCTGTAATCCCAGCACTTTGGGAGGCCGAGACAGGCAGATCACGAGGTCAGGAGATCGACACCATCCTGGCTAACACGGTGAAACCCTGTCTCTACTAAAAAAATACAAAAAACTAGCCAGGTGAGGTGGCGGGCGCCTGTAGTCCCAGCTACTCGGGATGCTGAGGCAGGAGAATGGCATAAACCCGGGAGGCGGAACTTGCAGTGAGCTGAGATCCAGCCACTGCACTCCAGCCCCGGCGACAGAGCAAGACTCCGTCTCAAAAAAAAAAAAAAAAAGAAAAAGGAAAGAACAATAAAAGTCAACTGCTGAGAGGGAGGTTTAGGAAGGAAGGGCTGACATTATGACTGAGGTGTGAAATAGTCTTTGGGGCCAGGTGCAGTG